TAAAGATGGCGACATTGGCGCTTTGAAGACGTATTCTAAAGACTTAGGTTTTATTGTAACAAGCTCATTCAATTTCTCTACGTCATGGCTCAAAACAAAATATGTTTTTCATGCATCAAATTAGTGTTTTCATAAATGGTTTTTAAGTTTCTAAAACCCATGGTTCTTGCTTAACCAAAACCATAACCATTGGTTATCGGCGTTCGGCTATGGCGTTCGGTTTTCGGCATTGGTTATTGGCATTGATTTTAACCAAATGGTTTTTGGGTTTTTATCTTTGGTTTATGCTTCTGGACACATTTAAAGTTTTTCCAAATGATTAGTTTTCAAAAACCATAACCTTTGTTTTTCGGCGTTGGTTATCAGCATTCGGTGTTGGTTATCGGCGTTGGTTTTTGGCATCCAAATCAATCAAGTGGTTTTTAATATTTTATGATTGGTTTTTACTTCTGGACATATCCAAATGGTTCTACAACAAAAACATGTTAAAAACCACCTTTCGTTTTTGGTCTTTTGGTGAATACCATGTGAAACGGCATTAACTTGGCTAGCCGTGGTTTTTACCTTAATGAAGTGGTTTTTAAGTTTTTATACTTGGTTTCTACCTAAAATACATTATATAAGAGTTTCCAACACTTGGTTTTCATTTTGGAGAACTTTGGTTTTTGACATCGGTTTTCGGCGTTGGCTGCCAAACCTTGGTTCTGGCAAACCATCCCGACATGCATGTCGGAAATCCCGACAGCAATGTTGGCCTTCAGAAGCCCTGGGCAGTAAGTTTTTGAACAGCGATGTTCATGGTTGAACAGCGATGTTTTCAAATGACCGTTGGGCTATTTAAGACAAAATCTTTCCGTTTTTGAAAGTCAAACACCCCAACAGCGATGTAGACTTCTAGACATCGATGTTTTGGTGACCGTTAGCCATTTTTAAAGGAAAGTCAAAGCCAGAACAACGATGTTCACTATATGAACAGCGCTATCAGGCTAGATTTCAGCAGATCCACTTTTATTTGATTTCCACAAATCAAGCCAATCAACTCCAATCTTCTCCCAACCGTTGCACCTTGTTTTTGGGTATAAAAAGGGGTCTCTTGGGTCTACTTTTCATATCCATTCCTCACACATTTCATAGCTTTACATTGCATCATTCCATAAACTTTTTACATAGCTTTTTAGAGCCATTTCTTGAGAAATTGAGTGTGTTCTTGATCTAAATTAGTTTACTCATATTCTACTCTTTAAGAGAGTTTTTGTTCTTGAGTGGTTAAGTGTTGTGAACACTCTAAGGGAGGTTTGTTCCCTTAGTTGTACGAAGGAAGGGCATATTCCTTCGGGTTGAAGTCTTGGAGTGCGGCATCTCCGAGCAAGTGTATTGAGGCTCGTGGGACTCGATTTCTCAGGTTGTAACGGTTTGTTAAGCACCCGTAAGCTTAACGGAAGTAGTGTAGCTCGAGAGAGTCTCTCGAGAGACTGGACTAGCCACACGTTGTGGTGAACCAGTATAAATCTTGGTGTGCTCCCTTTACTCCTTTTTATTCCACTCTTTACTTTATCCCTGCGATTTTTATTCCGTGAAAATTTATAAACATTCTCGTGCCTCACTATTCACCCCCCCTCTAGTGAAGGGCACCTATTCTAACAAAAAGCGGTGGCCTAGAGGTTGATTGACCTTCTCCAATTCCTGCATAAAGATTTCTAGAAGAAGAACTCATGATCGCTTTCCTCTCAAACGGTTAAGTTTGGACGCGAGTTAGGCTCTGATACCAATTGTTAGAATAAAAGACCAACGCTAGAGGGGGGGTGAATAGCGTTTGATCGTAGAAATCGCAGGATTTAAAAAAAATCAAAAGAGAAGTAAAGAGAAGAGTAAGAGGCACACCGCATTTTACCCTGGTTCACCACAACTTGTGGCTAATCCAGCCTCCCGAGAGACTCTCTCGAGCTACACTACTATCTCGTTAAGCTTGTGGGTGCTTAACAAACCGTTACAACTTGAGAGTTCGAGTCACACGAACCTCAACGAATCCTTCAAAGGAAACAGTCCTTCCTTTGAATCTACTGAGAAAAATACTTTCTCTCAAAGTGTCTAAGAACACGAATACACTCAAGAACGAGACTCTCTTATAGAGTAGATTTTGAGTAAACTAAGTGCGTTCAAGAACAACTCAACCTTCACACAAAAATGGCTCTAGAAAGCTATGGAAAGTGATGATATTAAAAATGCAATGAAAGTATGAATGTTGTGAAGTGAATTGGTATGTAAAGCAGACCCAAACACCCCTTTTTATAGTGCCAAAATAGGCTCCAACGGACCAGTAAATTAAAGGGGTGATTGGCTTGATTTATGGGATTGAAAAGATTTGGAATCTACAAAATATTGGCTTCCCATCAATGTTTGGAACCTACCCATCGCTGGTAAGCCAATTTTCCTTCAGTTTTGAAGCCAACGGTCACCTACCCATCGATGGGTACAAGCTTCCCATCGCTGGGTGGGAGATTGACTTCCAAACAAGGAAAGAATCAACCTTAAATGACTTACAACGGTCATCCCTTCCCATCGATGGTATATCCTTACCATCGCTGGGTTCCCATCGATGGGATAGGTTTCCCATCGCTGGGCAATGTCGTTCTGCCTTGTGATAATTTTGCACCAAGGCTTGAACAGCGATGGGTAGAACTTCCCATCGCTGTTTGGCATGGTTCTGGAAATTGGTTTGGCTAAGGGACCGCTTACCCATCGATGAGAAGACCTTCCCATCGCTGGGTGGGTGGTTAGTCAAGAACCCATGGTTTTTGCCTTAACCACGGCCTAGCCAACCGATGCAAAAACCGACCGAAAAATCCAAAGTTCTCCAAAATAAAAATCAAGTGTTTAAAACACTTATTTGATGTATTTGGCTAAGAAATTAAGTAAGACACTTTAAAAACCACGTCATTTGAGTGAAAACCACGGCTAGCCAAGTTCATGCCGTTTTGAATGATTTTTGTCAAACGACCAAAAGCGAAAGATGGTTTTCAAAGTGTTTTTGTTGGAGAACCGTTTAATCATGCCAAAGAGTGAAAACCAGTCATAAAAAGTTGAAAACCACTCGGTTGGTTCGGACGCCAAAAACCATAGCCGATAACCGAGAGCCGAACGCCGGTTTATGAAACCCGAACGCTGGATGGCTTGGTTTTTGGTTTTGGGCGAACACCAAGTGTTTTTAATGACTTAAACAAGTTTGAAAAACATTTTTATGATGTAAGAAATGCAGTGAAAGGTTTTAGCCTAAAGAGCCAATGCGTGAGGGTTGGGTCGGTCTTGATTACAGTTATGACCGACTCAACGATACTAAAGACTGCGGTCTTCGTTCTTGGTCTCTTTTAGCTCTTGTTCTTTATCTTCGTTCTTCGCCTTGTATATTCAATGTTTGTCTTGATCACGGCAGTTTGGCATTATCAAAACCTGTTACAAAAAAAACGAACACGGCTTTAGTACGAAAACATGACAAGCTCGTGTTTCAACATACTGATGACGTTTTTTTTAAAAAAGGGGGGTGACACATTACTGATCAGAAGAGGACACGTGGAGCAAATGAAGGAAAAAGCACATGCAGCACGCCTATCTGCTCACAGAGCTGTATCATCAGAAACGAAGAGACCAAAAAAATTGAAATTCAAAAGGTCTCTCAAAAAACCCAAGAGCTTCTCCGTCTCCAACACCTTCACTCCAATTCCAAACCCTAACCAAGAATCAACAAGAAATCTCCCCAAAGGAGATCCAGAAATGGTGCGCACAAAAACCGCCATCCCTCAGAATTGGAAGAACAGACATGCAACGAAGAAAAGGGAATGTCTTCTCCAACGATTCGCTCAAGCCAGGGAAAAACTGAGGGCAAGAATCACTCAAGAGGATAAGAATCCTCCTTCCCAGAATCAAAACCCAGAAGTTGAAGATGCAACAGAGCACAAAGAAGCTCAAGGTACACAAGAAGACGAAGGGTCACCAAGAGAAGAATAGAATGAAGCACAACACAGTCCAGATCTTCCCACAGTCATGCTGTTGGAATGCAAACTGCCAGTAATCATCAAAGAACAGCCTCAAGTTACAGACACAGATGAAGAGTTTCAAAACTTGCTGGATGAAGAACCACTGATAGCAGTCTTTGAAGTGCCATTCAAGAAGATTGACAATCCGCCAAAGAAGAAGTCCAAATAGTCTGGGCAAAAACCTGTTCACTGGTCAAAACGTAAAACTAGAACAGAAGTAGTCATGTGCGAAGAACCTTCCCCATCACTCAAGAAGACCAGAACCAACACTACGAGCTCACCAATCGGCTCAAAGGGCAAAAAGAATCAAGATCTGAAACATATCTCAGGGAATTCCTCTAACACTACTTTTATCTCCTCCACTGCTAAATCTTACTTTCTTGCAATCGTGAAGAAGCATATCTTGCCTCAACGAAACATTGACCTGGAAGATTTTGCTCGGAAAACCACACTTATACCCATGCTAGAGGCTAGGAAATTGCTGAAATCAGTCACTATTCCAGGATCCTATGTGAAACAAGTTATTCAAGAGTTTTTCTGCAACATAGATGAAGATTTTGTGAATCCTACTGCTGCAACTTTTGAAAAAGTGTTTGTCAGAGGAAAATTGTACACATTTTCCTCCTCAGCTGTTAATCAGTTCTTGGGATTAGATGCTGATCAGGATGCCTTGGTTAGTGAAGTCACTATGTGGAAGGAAATCACCCACGGAGTTAGAAAAAGTCAACATCCCTCCAGCAAAGTTCCTTCATCAATCCTGAACAGTTCTTACTCCATCTTGCTTAGAGTTGCTGCATGTCACTGGCTAGCCACATCCCACACCAACACAGTGACAAAAGCCATGGGGATGTTACTATATAAGATCAAGAACAATGTTTCTGTTAATCTTGGAAAGCTAATAGTTGCTCAAATTGCTGAATTTGGGAAGCACAACTATAAACAAAATGACAATGGTCTGCCCTTTCCTGTGCTAATCTTTCAGATGCTTGTCTCACAGAGTTTCAACAAGACGGATGGTGAACAAGAGGAGCCCTTGGAGCCACTACTGCAGGTTGACAACAGACACTTTGATGGAAAGCACTTCAATGACATGAAGGTAGCTAAGCAGGCAACACATGGAGTGCCAGGTGTACTCAAGTATCTGGAGCACAAACTGCAGCAAAACAAGGAAGCACTTCTCCTGGTGGACCAACAAAGAAAAGTTCTTTAAGAAGAGCGGCAGAGTCTCATATGGTTGCAAGAGAATGCTGCACAGAGTGCTCAAGCAGAAGGTTCATCATTTCAGGGGGAGAGTTCAGAGGAGGAAGAAGACACTGCTATAGATTTCTCAGCCAGAGGGGATATCTTTTCTATATACTCTTTACAAGCTTAAATTTGACATTCATTTTGGTTGGGTTGTTCTGCCCTGTTTCTGGTTTAAAGACATATCGTACTGCTAGTTCTTTTGCTTTGACTGTTATTTTTGAATGGTTCAAACTTGGCTTTGGTTCTCTACGTATGTGCTCACTCCTGGTCATCTACAAGTTTCATTTCGCTATCCTTGTGCGTCTTTTTGACATGGTGTAGGTACATCCTTCAGCTTGAGAGATAGGTATTCCAGTGAGTTTTGTACCCCTCTTGCTCAAGTGTTGAATATTACTCTTTTCTATTCCCATTTACCTTTTAATAAACTTTGGCTCATTTTTGAACAAAAAAGGGGAGAAGAGGTTCAACAGGCCAGAGAGTCTAGTGTATTTGTTTTTGTCCAAAAGGATGGCTAAAGGGGGAGATTGTTAGTTATTTGGGTTAGTTACTAAGGGGGAGAACTAGTGTTTATTCTGTTTATTCTTTGTTGGCCTTATCCTTGTGACAAAAACAAATAAGTAGGAACAAATAAGTAGGAATGTTTGTTCGGTTTTTTGAGCTGCTTGGATGTAGAGTCCTGCCGTGTCATGCTTGGGTTTGAGTCTATCCCTACGAGCTGGAGAAGACTTCCTCCTGGAAAGGGATTCCTACGAAGCTGAGATACAGGAGACCTGCGCAGTCAAGAAATGCTAGTTGGCGAAGAATTCAAGTGTGGTTATAACTAGGGTTCTCATATGCTCATATATATATATATATATATATATGATCTCACGTTGGTGGAGGACGTGCAAGAGAGAGAGAGAGATCACAAATTCCAGAAATACATTGAGAGAGCCAAAACCCTTGCTACAAAAAGGAGATCAGAAGGGAACCATGCTGGGATCCTTCTGATTTACGGTGCTGTGTTAAGCACAAGGAGTTCGTGACCTGGTTCATAGTTCATATCACATATCCAGGTTCGGTTTTGATGAAAAACCACATCCAGCTGGTGAACTAGGAAGGGCTGGAGAAAGGGCTGATAGCACGTCCAATAACAGAAGTTATCAAGGTTGGTGTAATATGCCATTGGGAGAAACACTAACAGAGTTATGTGTTTAAGTCATCTGTAATAGATTAGTTCAATCCACTAATTGGTACCTACGGTGGTTGAAGTTGTAATCTTTGCAGTGATTTAGTGGATGGGCTATTACACGGATGTGGGCCCCGCAGAGTAGGAGAATTGCTCCGAACTGCGTAAACAATTCTTGTGTCTGTTTTATTGTTTTTTATTCCTCTTGCTGCGTGTGACTGTTTGTGACAGTGGGTGTGTTTCAGCACTTTGTTTATCACAGCGATCAGAGCGTGTGTGTGGTTGACTAGAATTGTTTACAGAGAGTACTTCCTCCTGTGACTTAAGTCACTATAACAATTTCAAGACCAAAGCCTAATTCAAAAGACAGTTACACTACTTGGACAAAATGGGACTAGCAATGCAGACATGGGTGAGTTCAACACCCAATGAAGAGGGAGAGGAATACATGTCTTCAGAGTTGAACTGAGTCCATGGGTGTTAGAAAGCTTGTTTTTTGCTTTTTGCTTTTTGTAAGTGGTTACCATATTTATTTTTAGGGTGTTACTTTTTGTAAATGGTAGCCACATTAGCAGATTACTTTTTGTGGTGGTCCCAAAGTGGTGAAATACAAAGTCTAGAGGGGGGGGGGGGGTGAATAGACTTTGTTACAGATTTAAAATCTTTTTCGTTTCTTTTGAAAACGTGAAAATAAGTGTTAATCTGGAGTTCTTGTGAACTTTAGATTGTGTGCGGAATTTGGTGGGTAGAGTGAGCCGTAATCAATATGGATGGGTTAGTTTTCATAGTTAATATAATTGCAAGTAAGAGTAAAGATAAAAGAGAGAGACACGCAAACTTTAACGAGGCTCGAAGGTGGGGTAATCCTTCTACGTCCTCAAAATCCACTATGTAGTTGGTTGTTGAATAATGAACCAACAATTACACTTGTGTGAATTTCTGCACGGTATATCTTCGCAAGACCAATGTTGCTACTGCACTCGTGCTGGCTTTGTTGTTCCTTCGAAGGTCACGCTTCTTCAACAACTGCAACGTCCGAACAGTAGGACTTGCAAGATCAACTTGTATGAAAGTTGACCTACCCCCTTTCAATCAATAAGTTTGATCAAAAGTTATATCCTTCAACGTGGTGTGGTACTTGAGGCAAGGTAACCTTCAAGTGTTTACACTATAGCTCTTTGGACGGAGGAGAAGTTTGCTTCTGGATAATGAGTTTAGAAATCTCTCTTTATCAAGCTTGTTGGGCTAACTGTGAATGAGATAGCTTTGTTGTTAGAGATTGCTTCGTTGTCTATTCATTCATTCACACATTCATTCATATCTTCTCCAGTCTTCCAAGGGTGCTATTTATAGCTGGATTGGATAATCTATCCGTTGAATCATAATAGACTATCCATTGCATTTGCTGGCTTCAATTTTGAATGAAGATTGTGATTTGAAGATTCCTCATTGGAATGGGTGTTTGGACATACCCAATTGTTTGAGGAGGGATTCCTTTTTTTTCACAGAATCTGTCTTCTAGCTGTTGTTCAAGAATTCAAGACTGTAGCACTTTACTCTGTTTGTCTTCTAGTGCTTGTTTAGGAAATCTGGGCAGGCTCTTTAATTTTAGAGGTCCAGACTTTGTCTTCGAGTAATTTGTTCTTGAATCAGCATAATTATCTTCAATCTAGCCGTTGAAAATCAAGAGATTGATTTTTCCTTACCAATGGGTAGAATTTCTTCATTCAAGACTTAGATAATTTTTCTAAGTCTTTTCTCACTTGTCCGCTTTCTGAGAATTCCGGTCTTCAATGAGTCTTCCGATTCTTAGCTGACAAATCAGGAGGAGTCATTCTCAGACTTCCGGGTGAGAAAGAGATCCGCGCTAGTCTTCCGATTTGTATGACTTAGCCTTCAGCGGGTTGTAGCGAGACATCCGGTTCTTATGTAGTCTTCCGGATCAGAGGATTTTCATTTGCTTGAGAAATCCTTACTTGTCTCTGACATTTTCGATCAAGATATCCAATTTCCATATCACTGAATTTGATTAAGTCTTCAGGCATCAAAACGCTTAAAGAAATATCACAACTTTATTGGAAATCTCAAGAACTCGGTTTTAACAATATTTCTAAAAAGAAAAATTACATTGAATATTGGGGGAGACCTAAAGTCCCTATTACATTCTAAATACATCATCATCAAAATCTATAATATTTTTCCCAACAATTTCCCCCTTTTTGNCTCTGACATTTCCGATCAAGATATCCAATTTCCATATCACTGAATTTGATTAAGTCTTCAGGCATCAAAACGCTTAAAGAAATATCACAACTTTATTGGAAATCTCAAGAACTCGGTTTTAACAATATTTCTAAAAAGAAAAATTACATTGAATATTGGGGGAGACCTAAAGTCCCTATTACATTCTAAATACATCATCATCAAAATCTATAATATTTTTCCCAACAATTTCCCCCTTTTTGATGATGACAAACAAGTGTTTAAGAGTTCCGGTTGCTGTACTGAGAACTAATTTTATAGTAACTTTCTTTTAGTTTCTCATAACATACAGCTTGTTAACAAAAACTCTTAAACAGATACAATTTAAATTACAATATTTCCTAAACCAAGTCTTGTCTTGAGATTTTGTGATATCTTCCGTCATTGACCGTTTTCAGTTTCAGCAGATTCTGCTTGGCAGAGCGGTTGGCGTTGCGTTTGATAGATCTTTAATATCCAAAGTGGATATTCAAGATCTTGGAAGCAACACATCTCTCAAAAAGCAAAAACAAGAACAAAAAACGAAAGAAGAAAACAAAAAAAAAAATAGAAAGACAAGAAAAAAAATTTGGAAAAGAGAATTGATTGTGAAAAAGATAAAATAAGGTTTTCAAAGATGAAGGAAAAATAAAAATTTTGAAAAAGAACTTTATGGAAAAATTTTAAAGAAAATGCTTGGGAGAAGGGAGCAGAGGCAGCACAAAAAAAATTTAAAAGATTTGTAAGAAGAGTGCGGCGACTACTCAAAAATTAAAATTTGAGGAACGAAAAAGAGAGAAAAAAAATTAGATGAGACGAAAATGGAGAGAGTGTTGTTCCAGAGAAAGTGTATGGTATAATCCTGAAAAATACGAGAATTACACCATAAACTTTCTCTACTGCCGAGAATTGCACCATAAACTTTAGATTACTTTCCTTCTCACTAGGCTTTTCTCCATTGCCGTCTATGAGGGTAAGAAAGGAAAATTTCTCCATTGAGGATAATTTTCTTGGTGTTTTTCTCAGACAGTAAATTGAAGACTTTTCATGTTGAAAGAATTGTTTGTGATGGAAATGGATTGGAATGTCTTGATTTAAATAGGGGAGGAGGAGGTTCACGGGTTCCTTTAAGAGAGTAGTTGGAACGGTGAGAGTAAAGGAGTTTCAACTTCCAAGAATTGAAACTGTTCTAATTAGAAAATCAGTTTCGTTTGGTTTGAGAAACGTAACTGTTTTAGTTTGGCTAAGCCCAAAAGAGTGGCCCAAAAAGAAAAGAAAGCTATGTACTAAAGGGAAATTATTCCTATTGGGTTCTCAAGGCCCAAAATAAAACTATCATTTTTCATTCCCTATAGTTCTAATTTCTACTTAGGACGAGGTAGTACCAAAACAAATATGAATTTTATTTTTAAAAGAAAAGTGGTACTATTTTTCCAAAGTCCTGTACATTATAAAAATCCTAAGGACCAGTACTTTTAGAGCTAGTTGGAAATGAATTAAGGATTAAAGCTTAGTTTAAGAAGGCAGATTTTGTAAAGTACCTGAATC